GACCTATACCCAATTTGAGTTTGGAGATCTTCATCTCAGTATGAAACTAGGTAGATTTATGGTTCTGTCTACCCTGCAAAGTCCTTTGACGTCATCTCAGTAGGAAGTGTACTTGGTAGATGGTATATTAAGTTAGTACCCACGTCTACATTGCGCAAAATCAATTACACACTAAAGAAAACATGATTTATTTCTACAAATAATTAACCATTCATTCTGTTTCTTTCCCCAGTCATTTCAAAGGGAAAAATGTTTGGCTCAAATAATTTTGCAGTGAAGCAGTGAATGTCTGGTTGAGGACAAAGATGAAATTAAACCAAAGGGTTTTCCTTTGCACATTTTCAATTTCAGAGCTTTTTATACCATAATAGAAGATTGTATGCATATTATATGTATGCACATACATAGTCAATATACAGATATCTAGATATTGAGTGATGTAAATTCTTGAATAAGCTCTGTTAAATGAAAGAGAAAAGACAGAGTAAATAAAATCTATAACCTTTGTCTATATAATTACATTCTTATTAAAATAATTCTATAAATAAATATTAACCTAAATACTGTCTGAGCAATGTTAGAGACATCAATATGGAGAAAATAACAGAGAGTAATGTAACAGGAAAGGGAAAATTATTTAGAAAAAATTGACTTTTCCACTAATGGTGATAATATATTTCTTATCTGTTATAATTTTTATAACTTAACATTTTATGTTGAAGAGATTTTATACTAGAACTTAAACAGCTGTTTTGTTTGCTATTGTTATTGTATGTTCTTAATTCCAACTCAAAATATCTTAGAGGGCAGAATAGAATTGCCCCATATGGTTTCATAGGCTGAAATATTTTACTGGATTAGGTAGAGAGAACTTCTCTCCTGTGGAGCCAAAGGATGTGTTGGAACAGCTGGCATTTAGTTGCAACCAAACCTTTAACAGTTTCACTGCAATGGTCCCTTTCCTTTTTATTTAGGGACATATACTAATGGACCTCTTTGTCATTCAAAGACAGCTACATTCCTTGAACAAAATATGAAATTGCATAAACATTACCTGTATTCCTTGAGCTGATATGGCACAACTCAAAACAAGGAGAAATAGCTGCAAATATCCATTAATGGTTAGAAAGTGAAATATAGATAGTATAAAGAAAATCATAATAAGTGAAATGGAACCCTTAATATCACTATCCAAAGCACAAGTGAGAAGGAAATGGACTGCTATTGGCCATATTGAATAAAAACAAAAACAAAAAACCCCATATGATTTACCACACCAACTCCTAATACCAAAGATAAAGAAATTAAAGACTTCCACCAACTTCTGCAATCTGAAATGGATCCAACATGCAATTCATATGTATTGATAATAATTGACAATGGGAGTGCAACAATTGTAAAGATGACACAGGATCAGCAAGGATTTCCATTTGTTGTACAGGAGGTCACTATGAGTCAGAGTCACCTTGGGATCTAACAACAACTACGTCCTGGGAGGTACTTCATCAGAAGGTGAACATCTTCTGATTTTTCTGGTGGTAATGGGGCCCTAGTGGCTTAGCAGATAAGGAGTTGTACTACTAACCAAAAGGCAAGCCGTTCAAATCTACCATATGAACTTCTAGAGAAGAGTGGGCAATCTCTTCCCCTGTGATATACAGCTTCTGAAAACTCACTGGAGGGTCGGTTCCAACTCAATGGTTACAAAGGGGTGCTTTTCAGTCTGTTAAGAAGTTGTTCTGATAACACAAAGACCATGCCTCTCTGCGGGTTCAGATCCACAAGGAGCTCCAAGAGAGAAAGAGGGGAATCTCCTTCAGTGTCACTTACGGTTTCAGAAACCCAATGGAGAATCATTGACGAGTTGGCAGTGAACGAGTCTGAATGAGTAAAAAACAAAAACAGAGAAAAAGACTAAGAGCACTAAAATACCCTGGTTTTTTGTTGGCGTCAATGATTCTATTACGATTCTTTTCCAGTGTAGTACTTCAGCAAAATTGTTGCTAAAACCTAACTGAGTTACTGTGGGGCTGATTTGACTTAAGGCAATCATGTGCCTTGAGTGCCATGATAAAACTTGATCAGAACGTGATCTGATCTACAGGGTTTTAATATTTTTAAATGTATTTATACTTTGGAAGGAGGAGTGGCATCCACTTCCATAATAGCTTGCCTCCGGAAACCCTATGAACCTTGAGAGAAGATGAAAGGCACCCAAGTGTCGAGGACTCTCCTTCGTAGGGTCGCTGTGAGTCGCCTGCGACTTGACTCGACGGCACTTAACAACAACAACAGCATTTATACTTTGGAATTAGATCACCGGGACTTTATTCAGAGGTGTCTCTGAGTGAACTCAAACCCCCTAACTATTCAGCATCCAAGGGTGTTAACTGTTTGCAGCACCCATGGACAACATAAACTGCATAGTTATTATCTTACAAGGCAAATAATTTAAACACTATCAGTTTCCTGTTTTTAAAGAAAACACAGTACATAGACAAGAAAAGGAGAGTTTTTGGCATTGGTTAAGACTTTAATTCAGCCAAAAAATGAAATACTGGTGTAGACCAAAATAAACCACTATAAAATTTGCTGTAGACACAGTTTAGTCTCTGAGTGTTTTTTCCTACCCAGGCCCCCATGAAATCTGCTAACAGCTGTGGAGACAGTGCTGAATGAATTAGATGTTGGAGTCAGACCATAAAATCTTTCTCAAAGAGTTTTGATTTATTAAGTTTAAATTATAGCTATATCTGATTTTCTTGTTAATGTACAAACAGGGACAAGATGTCATTTTCCCACCACTCTCTTTCCACTTACATACTTTAAATGCATTTTAAGGCAAAGAATCTCTAAGTGAGAGAGCAAGCTTTACCGACTTTGGTATGTAATTGTTTACAAATCAGAAGAAAGCATGAAATGGATGGTGAAAAAAAAATTAGTCCACAATTCCATTTCTACAAGACCAATTCTTATTTATTTTCAAATAAATTAATTAATGGGAGGGAAGGGGTTTAGGAAAAAAAAATATTTGATTTGAACAGCTTTGTCCGAAGGTATGTAAACAGAAGGAAACACTTTCATTTTGCTTTAGTTTCTTACTATGAGGTAAATGACTCGGACATGGTTTCCATTTAAACAGTCTCCAAAATGAAAACTCTTTGCGTTCTAAGCCAGCTTGACCCATTAACTATTCCTGTCACCTTGAGTAAGTTACTGAGCAAGTCTGGGCTTTATTTGATAATAAGGAATCCAATTCATTGTTTTCATCATGCTCTCAGGACTCCAAAGAACATTTTTATGAAGGTCAGAGGAGACTTCCCCCAACTCCACTTCAACCCAAGCTGCCCTAATTCGTCCAGAACCATTCATCTTGTTTCCCAGGAAGATTTTCCTGCTACCCATTAAGATTTTGCTTGACCAGAATTTTGACACTAAAAAAAAAAAAAGAAAAAAAAAGCCCCCCAAAATTAGCATTTCACTGGACTTTGATGATATCTACTGCCTCTTAAAGTTTATGGCCCTCTCTCTCATCTCTATCTCCCTTATCAATTTTGAGCTACCAACTCCTGAGCAATTCATCTTAACTCCCTTTCTGATAAAGGACTAGAGCTGGGTAACATTAAAATGAGTAGGTGGGTTTCCCTTAAGATGTGATCCAGATTTTATTGGCATAAGAAGCCATAAAAAGCTAACTAATTCTTGGAGAAGAATCATTAGAGGCAATAAGAAAGCTTTAGAGACTTTAGAGCGGCATATTTTAGTCTGCATTACTATTTATTTTTTTGGCACATTATCCCCTACTAATGTCAAGTTGTTGTGTTCTGGGACTTTTTCAAAACAGATAACATTTAGGCATAGTTTCCAACTCTCACAGTGACAAGAATATTTGTGCAGGCTTTTGTCCAGTCCTATACATAGACAAAGAGATATTTTTTTCTGCCTTAAATATAATTAACTGTCTTCTTCCTCTCAAATACACAGCTTATTACTCTTCACCATAATATTCAAGCAGCATTGTAAGATATATGGCAGCGATGGCTACTGATTCTTAATATAACTTGTCTGTATCATAAGGAGTTCTGATGATAGAGTCCTTAGAGAAATGCCCTTCTAACTGAAAAGCTGCTCTTTTCTAATGGTTCAAATGAACCAAAGGCTCCATAAGACAAAAATGGGCAATCTCCCCCTATATACAAACAGAATCAGAAACCAGCAACAGGGTGAGCTATGAGTTGGAACTGGCTTGAAGACATGATATCCTGAGTTTCTGATTTTCTTCTTTCTCTACTGGCTACCTATTTTGCTTTTTGTATAAATATTAATTGATGTCTTTATTTAATGATATTTTTGTTGTTGTTGTCTCCTTATCAGAGATCAGTTTTAACCTGCCTTTGCTGGTATCTTTATTATTTTTTTTTATGAGTTCATCTTCATATACTTGACACCCAGATCAACACTCTAGAAGACAAGAGTCTTCTTACCAAAGGCTCTATCTAATACTTTGCATCGGAATATCTTCAGAAGAAGATAACCCCACTACTGCTTAATTTAGTACCTTAAATCTGAAATAAAGGAATTAGAATTTTTCTCATTCTATTGTTTCATATTCATCAACTTGGATTTTTATTCTTATGATTCTCCTGATTTTTAACGAAGTTCTTTCTTGTTGGTAGAGGTACATGACACTTATTCATAATTACTCAAGGGGGGGGAAACCCTTTCTCAACTAATCTGTTGTCACATGAGCTAGAACCGAGTAACGTGGTCATCTGTGATCAGTCTCGTACAGAGAGACTGCAGTACCATGACTAGTACAGATGAATCCAAATTTAACTATTTAGTCATACAGAAGAAAGGTGAATACATAGAAGAGGTGGAATTTTTGCTGCCAAAACATAAGGGGGGAAGGGCAAGTGTGTCACAAAGAAGCTACAAATAGATTCTGCGGCCTCCCACTTACTTCTCTGTTCTCTTCCTCTGAGCTTTGGCCCCTCGCCATGGCCTCCACTGGTCTGCAGATCCTGGGACTCGTCCTGACGCTGCTCGGTTGGGTGAATGCACTGGTGTCCTGCACCCTGCCCATGTGGAAGGCGACCGCCTTCATCGGCAGCAGCATCATGGTGGTCCAGGTCATATGGGAGGAGCTGTGGATGTCCTATGCGGTGCAGAGCACTGGCCAGATGCAGTGTAAGGTGTACAACTCGCTGCTGGCGCTGCCCCAGGCTGCCCATGCCCTCTGCGTCATCACCCTCCTGGTGACCCTGGTCTACATCGCAGGGGCCAAGTATACCACGTGTGTGGAGGACAAGGACTTCAAGACTCGTTTGGTGCTCACTTCTGTGATCATCTTCATCATCTCGGGTGTGCTGGCCCTCATCCTGACCTGCTGGACTGCCAACTTCATCATCCGGGACTTCTACAACCCTTTGGAGGCTGAAGCCCAGAAGCGGGAACCGGGGGCCTCACTCTGCCTGGACTGGGCTGCCTCTGGCTTGTTGTTGCTGGGTGGAGCTCTCCTGTGCTGCGCACGTCCCTCTGGTGGATCCTGGAGCACCAATCATTATATGGTCCGCTACTCAGCTTCTGCTCCACAGGGCACCCCTCGGCCCACTGAGTACCCAACCAAAAATTATGTCTGATGGGGGGGTGGGGGTAAGGCAGCTCCCTGAACACAAGCCCCTCTTCCTTTCCTAAAACTGGACCCTACACAGGCAATGATCCTCAGCAGCTCAGGGTTGTGTTTCATCATTTTTATTTTGCTTTTTGCGGATTTTTTTTTTTTAGTCAGTTTTTCATTCAATGACTAACCCCCTTGAGAAGATGACTCCCCACAGTGCTGGTGCCTCGTTCTCATCTTGTGTGGAGCCAAAGATAGGATTCTTTTTTGAGTTTCTGAATCACCTCATCCCCAAGACACAAGACACACCCCCACCCCACCCCACCCCACCCCAGAACACATGTAAACCTGTGTGGGACTGCTCTTTGATACTACTGCTTGGATGTCCTCCTAGATTACAGAAACACCTCTGAACTCACCCGCGGACCCTTGCATCTACTAGAACTACAGAGAGTTACCAAAGAACCTAACTCCTAGTTTCCCCCTACCCTATCTGCACTCAATATTACCATTTTCTGTCTCTCTCTGCATCCTATCTACTATGAATATTTACCCTCACATCCAGTCCCCCTGCATACTTATACCTTGACCCATAGTGGTTATTTAGGAAATAAAGTGTTTTGCAAACAAGTAGAAAAAAGAAGCTACAACTGAGCATTCACTTTCCATGTGAGATTTACATTTGAGGGCCTGTTTATTACCTTTTTCAAAACAAAGATATTAACATTAGTAGTTTAACCCTATTGCCAAATGAGTAATTGCCTTCTGACTTTCTCCAGTTTACGCTATAGTTTATGGTAGAGTATTTATTCCTTTTGTCTCCTTAAAATGTGTAAGAGCAGACTTGCCTTTCTACTCTGTAAGTAGTTGAAAGGACCAGGGTGAGGTGAGTGAGATTCTTGGGGAGAAAATTTAAAAAGGTACTTCTCTCAAAGTATTTGTGTGTCTGTCTTAAATTTGGTACCCTTAACTGCTCCTTAGAAACAAGGATAGTGAGACTTTGTCTCACATGTTGCTGTTATTAGGTGCCATTGAGTTGTCTGCCACCCATACCGACCCTATGTACAGCAGCTCTAAACCCTGCCCTGTCCTGAGCTAGTCTCACTAATTCTGACACACCAATCCCCATTGCCCCAGTTACTGTGTCAATTCATCTCACCCACGGTCTTCCTCTCCTACACTGTCCCCCCATCCTTCTGAGCCTGATGTCCTTCTCCAAGGACAGGTCTCTCCTGGCCATGAGCCCAAAAAGTATGTGAGTTGGAGCTTCAGAGCCCTAGCCTCCAAGGAGAGACTAGGTTTCACTCTCTCTAGGATAGACCTATTTTTTTTTCTTGGCAGTCCATGGTATGTTCAAGATTCTTCTCCAGCACCACAACTCGAAGGCATGGATTCTTATTCTGTCATCCTTAGTCATTATCAGGAAGAGGTAGTCCCCACGGAAGGACATTATGCTTGGTAAAGTATAGAGTCAGTGAAATTGAAGATGATACTTAAGGAGTCTGACTGTCACAGGGAATGCAATAGTGGTTGTAAGTACAGCTAGTAGCGTGAGGACCACACAGGTGCAAATAAGATTTTGTTCTGTTGGATAGAGGGTAGAGTCCATCCCACTGTTCTAACAATAGTCAAACTAAAGAAAGTTCAAACTCTGGTGACTCTATGATACTGTGAGACACCCACCCCCACCCCATAGCGCATGGACTTTTCAAATATTTGAGAGCAGTCTTGAGCCAATTATCAGTCAGCCTGCAATATAATTTTGTTTTCCCTCTAGAGATATCTTGAAAATAGTTCTAGCTTTTAAAAGATAATCCTGGCCTTTGGGTATATAACAAAATACAGATTTTTCATTTTTTGAGCCTGCACAACTTGTTATAAAATGTTTTAGAAAATTCTTTTCTCTTGAAGTCCTGACATGATCAGCACTGGGTGTGACCCAAAGATGGAATGAAGAACTTGAATGATGACTGTTTCCTTAGCAACAAGAACCATATATTTTCTTTGAAATAAGAAATCAAAAGAAACTATTCTCCATTTTCTTCTCCTTCAATTTACTGGTTCAACAATAGTTTCTAAAATTTCATTTTTCACTCCAATCAATTATTTTAAGACATATTAGGTGCAATGCAATGCTTGTCATGAAAATAAAACAGATAGGATTTATTTTACCTGTTACTTTTTCAGCTAAATTATTTGATGTATGGGAAACTCCAGAATCCTAATATCTACTAGAAACAGTGAATTTCAGCTCTGAACACAAACCATGTGCACATAAAAATCATGTATGCATGGAGTCCAGTGTAGGCTGCTTCAGTGGTTCTCACCTAGCATCTATATTTTTAAAAAGTGTCTCCAGATGACTCTAATATGTGCCTAGGATTGAGAACCACTTCTCAGAGAAAAGTTTATGGCATTGATAAATCAGCTAAGGAATTTGAATTACATCAATTTAGAGATTAGAGTTTAAAGAAAATTTCCAGCAATTCTGTTAAAAATTCTCCCAACTTACTACTTTTCAGAACAAACTATCAATGGATTAATATACCAAGAGCTCTCAATTAGTCAGTCTCTAAGTTTATCTTGCATGAATTGGAAGGGTGAGGGCTGATGAGAAGGTCACTTGCCACCAAGCCCATCACAAGTCCACTTTTCCATAGACTCTAGGATTTATGTCTCTGATTAGCGAAAATCCAGAAGCTTTTGCTGATAGGTCCTGAGAAGAGTTGGCCTTCGTCAACTGTATGGCCCCCTTCTGCCATATGAGGCTCATTGAGTCTGCCTCATCCTGCTGACGTTATAATCCAGTCTGTGTGAAAGTTTGAGGAAAACTTCACATACTAATCCAGGGCTTAGATACATTTTAAATGGAAATACATAAGACTTTAATTTACAAATATTTATTTTATTTTAGTTTTACAATTTTGATACAATAAAAAGCCATTATTTATTTCTATTCAGATGCTCAAAAGTTAGAAAGCTGCTCCTTTTTTAAAGATGTCTCTTGATAATCTTTCAGTATTGTGGTAATTAATATACATTAACCTATCGACAACTTTTTAAAGAATTAGGTAGTAATTAAAGGATAAAGAAAAAAATTTAAATTTCTTCTATTCAGTTACTAATAATATGGTAAGTAATAATCCTGTAATTATTTATATGTAGAAAAAATTACAAAACAAATTTGCATTAGTATTTATATAATCTAATAATGTATTACCTTTAAACTATTTTAAACTATCCTATTTTATTCTATAATTAAAATTTATAAAAAGTATTACTAATTTAGGTATGTCAGAGTCAGTGAGACTGGCTCAGGATAGGGCAGGGTTTAGAGTTGTACAGAGGCTTGTTAGGAGTCTCAGGCAACTTGATGACACACAACAATAACAAATATTTTTATAATCCGGTCCAAGAAGGCATCCAAGAAGAAGATCTAAGATGATGTTCAAGAAGGATGAAGATTAACACTGTGAGTTATAGCACTGGTTAATAGCAACTCTAGTGACTCCACTGAACTGTGCTCCATAGGGTTTCCACAACTGATTTAAAAAAGAAAAGAAAAAAAAGATAAAAGAAAAGAAGAGAAAGGAAACATATATACTTTTTTATTGCATTGGAAAAGTCTGCTGTTAGAGAGACCTCTCCAGAGTGCTGAGGAGCAATAATGTCAGTCTAGAGACTAAGGTGCACCTGATCCATGCCATGGTCTTCACAATTATTTGCTATGCATCAGAGTGCTGGACAATGACTAAGGATGACAGAAGAATTGATGCCTTTGAGTTGTGGTGCTGGAGAAGAGCTTGAACATACCTTGGGCTGCTGAAAGAACAAATAGGTCTGTCTTAGAAAGGGTGAAACCAAATTTCTCCTTGGAGGCTAGGATTTTAAAGTCCCATCTCACATACTTTGGGCATGTGGCCAGGAGGAGCTAGTCTTTGAAAAAGGACATCATGCTTGGAAGGGTGGAGGGACAATGAAGGAGAAGACAACCCTGGATGATATGGATTGACACAATAACTGGGGCAATGAATTAGGTATGTTGGAGTCAGTAAGATTGGCTCAGGATAAGGCAGGGTTCAGAACTGTAGTGCATAGGGTTTCTATGAGTTGCAGGTGACTCGATAGCAAAAAACAACAAACAAAAACTTCTGGAAAAGTATATATTTCCTCCCAAGAACTTCTGGGAATACTTGAACATCCAACAATTCATTTAGCAGTCCACTTGTTAATTATTTGCACCAACCAAGTTTGCATTTTAGTAATACTTCAAATAAAGTGTGTGTACACTGAAATTTGGAGAAAGTGGGGACTACAATACAGTAGGAATAATTCTAAATGCACAGCAGGATCTATTTTAAAGTCCATGTGTTTTCTAAAGACCTTGAAACTTGAATTGTAATTTAAATCATAGTGGCAAAACCAATAAACCCATAAATTGTCATCCATCATAATGGAATATTTCAAAATTATTCAGTGTTTTCCTAAAAAGAGAAAAATACTTAAAAAGATGATAAGAATTAACCCAACTAAGCAGCTCAATATCCTGAAAACTGATATAGATTATTTTGGCAGCCATCAATAAGCAAAAGTAATTTAATTTTTTGTCTGATAACCACAAAAAAAAGTCTGGCTATAATGGAAGTTACGCTAATCATAAGCAGTGTTGTATCCTTGTATAATCAACAAAGCAATGGCCATAAGTGTTCTTAAAGTCTACAGATTCAGCTCTTCTTGCATCATAGCTATGTTGTTGTTATGTGCCATTGAGTCAACTCCGACTCATAGAGGCCCTGTGTACAACAGCTCTGAATGCTGCTCTACCCTGAGCCAATTTCATTGTCTGCTACACCTACCTGTAACACTCCAGTCACTGAGTCAATCCGCCTCATCCAGAACTTTCTTCTCTTATACTGTCTCTCCTCCCTTCCAAATATGGTATACCTCTCCAAGGTCTGGTTCCTTCTACCAGCATGCTCAATGTATGTCAGACAGAGGCTCAAAATCCTTACCTCCAATGAG